GGTTTGTGCGGGGAGAAGGGTGCAACAATGAATGAATGGAATTCCAAAATCTCTGTAGATGTTCATTGAAATGAAAAATAAACAAACTAAATTAAAAAAAAAAGATTAGCTCAGGATAGGATAGAGCAGGGTTCAAAGCTATTGCACAAGTGACTCAGTAGTACATAACAACAACAGCAGAGTCTTCTTTTACATAATCAACTATTACAGAGGGAAAGCTTTATCTTAGCTACAGACCAAATCTGCACATAGATGGCTATTGCTACGGTGAAAACAGAACTAATGGGAAGGAGTCAGTCTCTGATGTCAAGCCAATTATTTCAGATTGTATCAGAGACATTAATTTAAAATTTCATTATAAAGGGCAAATGAGATATGGTCTCTGCCCTCAAGAGACTTGAAACTAGTAAAACTAAGGCACAGATATGGCTAAAAAGAGAAACTTTTTTCCCCCCATTAATTTCGATGAACATTTACAGGGATTTTGGACTTCCATTTATTCATTGTTGCACTTTTCTCCCTGCCCACTCACCCCCAGTTCGTTCCTCTCCTTGAAAAGCAAAACTCCTTCATTGGTACACAATCCCCCTGCACACCCCAACTTGCCCTAAAATATATTACTTTTAAACTATTCTCTCCCTCATAGGCTTCAATGCAGTAAACATAATTATCCGGTTTTTAAAGAGAAACTTAAGTTCTTGTGTTTTCGGTCCCTTTAAGGAAGTGCAGTTGGCAGTTTGGGTGTTGGTTTTGTTTTGTTTTGTTTTTTGGGGGAGGGTTCTTTTTTTTAAATAAAGAACTTATTGCTTTCAAAAAAAAAAATGTCTGCCTTGAACATTATGCTATTTTAAGAACTATTTGTATTGTGAGGTGTGAATGTTGTTATGTGCCATCGAGTCTCCTGACTCATAAACAGTGTCTCTGAACCTTGCCCTGTCGTGAGCCAACTCTGTTGTTTCTGACGCACCTAAACCCATTGAATATGATTATAAAATGTATAGTCCATTCAATGTTTGTTCCTTTGTGACTGACTTCTTACACTTATCATAGACTGTTCTCAGCAGCGACTGGAAAGGTTAGATCAAGTCCTTCGGGGACTGTGAGGTTATTTTAATGCAGGAAGAGCAATTGGCTGAGAATAGTTGCACAGCGTGAACGGGGTCTTCACAGTCACTGCATTGTCTGTGGACAAACAGCTACAGTTTGCTCTCTGTTGTCAACAGCAAAATAAAAATTAAAATTAAAGACGTGTATTGAGGCATGTATCGACACATATCCTTTATCCATAATACTGAAGTTTACATAATCATAAATTGACTATAGAATATTTTCAACAGGTTAACTGATATTAAAGAAAAAATAAATCAGTTTAATGAAGAAATAAGACAACTTGACATGGATTTAGAGGAACATCAAGGTAATTATCCCCATATTTTTATAATGTAGATTAACAGATACATAGCAGTATCAATAGAGTATTAATATCATATCAAATTAATTTAACTACTTAAATAGCATGGTTTTATTATTTAAATCATTAATTATATTACTCATTTAATTCCTAAATACATACTAGACTTAAATTTATAGTAAAGGAATTATTTAAACTGATCACAAACATGAAATAACTTGAAATTATTGCATTAGGACATAAATAAATTTAGTTTTACAAAGTAATTGTATTTAGTAGGTTTTTTAAAAAGGAATTAAAATTATGTACATGATTTATTTAAAAATATATTTCATTTTGCAAAGTTTTTGCAAATTTTGCAAATTAAATTGGTGTTTTATAAAATGATTTAATGAGGTAAAATGATTTAAAGTTACATTTCCCAAATTATAACTGGTGGGTCTTTGTCGGGGGATGCATTTGCTGGAAGGGAGATGATGACTGCTGACCAAAAGTACTTGGAGAGGGGGAGTTGGGAAGTCACGTTTGTTCTTAGATTCCCCAGAAACAATTCTTAGGTGGGGCACAGTAATGTGTTATTCTGAGGTGGGGCACAGTAATGCAGTAGCAAGTCCTGACCATCCTCACCTCCCGCGTTGGCCAGCAGTGGAATCTGCATAAGGGGCAGGAACTAGACTACTAGGTGAGCTCGAGTTCTGAACCATTGGAAATGGCTGTGATGCGGATTTCAGCCTACAGTGTATACGAACTTAGAGGTGAAGGGTAAACATTTGCTAATCTGTAATGAGTGCAGAAGGATAGATTTTTTCATCGCTCTTTAATCAGTTGCAAACTCTTTAATATACTCTTAAATTATTAAGAATTGACTATATATTTTTATGTGTTAGCTGTGGAATTGTATACTTAATATGACTGAAGAAAATCCATAGCAAGGAAAAAGCAATATTCTATTTTAAAAATAAAAATGAGTTTTACATGTAATATGTTGTTATTGTTAGTTGCTCTTAAGTCATAGACAACTCATAGCGACCCTATAAACAAAAGACCTGAACATTTGTATAACGTTCATCGCTTCTCCAAGTTCATAGAATTTCTGGCAAACTATTTCTGAAGTGGATGCCACTTCTGCTTGTTTTAATCGGGGAGTGCCACCAAACACAGTCCACCACGGGTAACCATTATCACATTTGGCACATCAGTATCACAGTGTTCAGCTTCAAAGCAACCACGAGTTACCTCTGTACAGCAATGCACAGACCAGAGCTATACCATTTAGAAGAATGTTTGACAAAAACCAATTTAAACTAGGCTTGAGGGCTGCAGATTAAAATCACCCACGTTTGGCTTGGTAGTATAACTTTCTATCTGCTAAGCCAATAGAACTCTCTCGTTGTTGTTGTTGTTGTTGTTGTTGTTAAGTGCTGTGGAGTCATAGGCAACTCATAACGACCCAATGAACGAAAGTCCTGAACACTTCTATAACTTCCATTTTTTCTCCACATTCGTAGAGTTTCCGGAGGCAAGCTATTTCAGAAGTGGATTCCACTCCTGCTTCCAAGCTTGTTTAATATACTGTTGTTTGTTGTTGATTGCCTTTGAGTCGAGCACAACTCATAGTGACCCTATGAACAAAAGGCCTGAAATCTCTCTACAAGTATTGACATCTATTAAAGTTCATAGAGTTTCTGGAGGCAAGTTGTTTGGGAAGTGGATGCCCCTCCTGATTAGTCTTATTTAGTCATCTCTTGCTTTGTGGACAGTTGTAGTCGTCTTGAAGTGCCGCTCAGAGTGTTCCTGAGCAGTAAAGATAGTGAGTCTCCATCTCACGTATTTTGGGTGTGTTATCAGGAGGGGACAGTCGAGTCAGTAAGGAAGCACTGGTGTCCTACGGGCAAGAAGCTGCATTGCAATCCTGAAGGCGCACGGTTTGAATCCATCAGGTTCTCCGCTAGAGAAGAGGGGCAGTCTCCTTTTATGCCAGTCGGATCTGATTGGACCTTACACCACCACCACCACCACCACCACCACAACAACAACAAAATAATAATAACAATAAAAAGAAAAAGTAGAGTCTGTGCAAAGAGAGGATGGCCCGTAGCAAGATTACACTAATGGCTTAAGTGTAGCAGGGATTGTGAGGATGGCCCAGGACCAGGCGGGGTTCTGTGCTCTTGTCATGCATAGAACTTCTTTGAGTTGGAGTCAATGTAGTGACACCTGACAACATTATTAATTTACTCACCTGCGCTGGGTAAGTACTAGGTGCTTTGCTTCATGTACATGAGAACTCCTTAAAGTCTTGTTAATATCTTTATACATATTGAAAGTCAGAGAAGGTACCGAATTTAAGTAAGTGGTAAAGTGAAAAGTTGAACAAAGAGTCTTTAAATCAAAAGTATTTGCCTGAGTCAAACTTTTCTGACATTTTCATATGAAATTCTTGAATAGTTCAAGGACTGCAGCCGTCAGTATGGATTGAAGTTCAACATCAAGAAAACAAAGATTCTCACCTCTGGGCCGAATGGCAGCATCATGATAGATGATGAAGAGGTTGAGATTGTTCACAGCTTCAGGCTTTAGTAATTTCTTTGACTCATCTAGTTCTTGGGATGCACATAAGCACCCTTACCCAGAGAGGCCGAATTTGTTGCCATAGGCTTTATTACTTTCCCAAGGATTTCCAGCTCCAGGTCCAGTTGTGTACTGTGCTAGGCATTAATAGTGGCCCTGAAGTCCAACAGCTTCCTTGAGTATACTGTGCTTGTTTTAACAAGTCATTCAAATTTGAATTTTTTAAACTTAACCTAAATATATAATGTCAGTCTGGAAACTACCGTGTGCCCGATCAGGCCAGGGTCTTTGCAATCACTTCCTGTGCATCGAAGAGCTGGACAATGACTAGGGATGATAGAAGAAAATTGATGCCTTTCAGCTCTGGTGTTGGAGAAGAGCATTGAATATACCATGGACTGCTAAGAGAACGAACAGGTTTGTCCTGGAGAGGGTGAAGCCGGGCTGCTCCTTGGAGTCAAGGATTTTGAAGCTTTGTTTAATATACCTTGGACATGTCAGAAGGGACCAGTCTTCGGAGAGGGGTGCCATGCTTGGGAGGGTCGAGGGACAGCACAGGAGAGGAAGACCATCAATGAGATGGATTGATTCAGTGACTGGGGTAATGGAGGTAGGTGTGTCAGAGGCAATAAGTTTGGCATAGGATAGAGGTCGATTTAGTGCTGTTATACATAGGGTCACTATGAGTTTTAGGCTACTTGACAGCACATAACAAGTATACAAAATAATATTTCTTACTCTGAACAATCTTCATTGTTTCTAGGAATTGAGCTATTCATTTCCATGACAATCTGGAATAAAATTGAAAAAAATTCTGTAATAAACCTAGACTTTTGACTAGCTTTCTAGACAGGCTACTTTTCACTTTAGTCTTTATTAAGTGACTTTAAAAAAATAAAATCATTTCTTGACAAATATAATAGCATCTCATTTACATTTTTAAACTGTTAGTGCATTTAATTCTATCATGTTAAATATTTATTAGGCTTTACCCCACATAGTAGCTTTATTTTGTTGATAAATCAGATATATTTTAAATATAGAACTTGAAATTTATTTGCATATAATATATAATTTAAAAACTGTTATTACCTCTTACAGTGAAGAAAAAGGATAATTACTCCTTGCTACCTAGCAACAGTAAGAATTAGCTGTATCAAAGTAGGACTGGATTTAACTTCATACTGTACATCGGGCTGCTCACCAGATGGCACAGCATTTAATCTACCAGCTCCTCCTTGGGAGAAAGATGGGCAGTCTGTTCTAGAGTAAGATTAACAAGTTTCCGACATCCTGGAGGAGAGTCAGAATATATAATCTCCAAACATATATAATTTCATAATAGAGTCGTAGTGTATAATTATTCTGCACTTGAATAATTCCTTTTAAGTACTGTAGTCTGTAGCAATTTGGCCTGCTGACCCAAAGCTTCTTGTTGTTGTTGTTTGATGCCGTCGAGTCGTACACAACGCATAGCAACCCTATGAACGAACGGCCTGAGCACTGTTCGTACGTAGAGTTTCCGGAGGCAAGCCATTTCGGAAGTGGATGCCGCTCCTGCTTCCAGGCTTGATTTAGTCGGGAAGCTCCAGCAAGCACTGTCCACTATGGGTACCCATTACCACGATTGGCACGTCACTCTCACAGGCTTCAGCATCACAGCAACCATGAGTTACCTCTGTACAGCAACGCTCAGACCACCTAGAAGAACCCAAAGCTTACAATCGTTCAAATCCACCAATAGCTCCATGAGGGAGAAATGTGCAGTGCCCTCCCCCCCCCCCCCCCGCCCTGTGTCATTTACAGCCTCGCAGGCTGAAAGGGAGGGTCACTGCGAGGTGGAACTGACTCAAGGCAGTGAGCTTGAGTTTGCATATTTGAGATACAGTGTACATTCATTTACATAATACTGTATACGTCTAGTTAACAAATGATATATTCGTCACAGTCAAGAATTACAGTCAGACTAAAATGGTGGTGGCACAATAACGTTCATGAATATTTGCTGAAGTACCTAATTTTATAAACATATCTTCCAGCTTGTGTATTTGTGTGGAATAAATTTCTGGATGTAAAACTGAATAGAAAGCTGTGTTTATAATTTTGATTGATTTTGCTAAGTTTCTTTGTAGAAAATATGCCATATTTACACAACCACTAGGAATATATGGAAGTACTTCATCACCTATTCTAGGTATTATGAAATTTTTAGTTTTGTTGGTCAAGGTGATTTCTGCAAATTCTAAAATTGAGTGAATGGATTGAAAGGCCTGTGTGTGTAGTAATACTACCATGAGCCACAAGATGGAGCTGATTTTCTGGGAGTTTATGTACATAGACTAAGAGTGAGGAATCCAGTTAACAAAGTCTTTAAAACGTTCATAGTCGTATATTTTCGTAAGTGGGAATTTTGGGAGATGTTACTCACTAAAATG